CGTCTAACCTTGAAGCGAGAATCTGTGCTGAAATCTTATTTTTTTTTTTTTTTTTTTTTTTTTTTTTTTTTCATTTATTCATTCATGTTTCTGACTGGTTTAAATTTTGAAAAAGCCAAAACAAATATGAAATCTTTGTCTGCTTTTCAGCTAAGGACACAACAAAAGTTCAGTTATGAACATTTTGTGGTTACGTCTGTGTTCTGTTGACTTGTCATTCCTTTGCTTTGGGACAGTCTTATATAACAATTTTACAACTGGTATCCATAACAAGTTATTACTAAATAAAGAAAGAGTGACTGCTCCCTTATGGTCTTTTTTACTACTTAATAAAAGCCTATCCATCTTTTTTAAATTAATTATCAAGTACGCATAAATTCTGTTTGTAAACCCATAGTGGAAACTCCCTTATAATGTGTCTACATTAGTATGCATTTTATTTTACAGTATCAGGCGCCATCAGGAGCGTCGAGCCATCCTCACCCCAATCCTGACGGACTTCTCTGTTCGGGTGACCGCTGCCCCGGCCATCATCTTCAGCAGGAGCCTGTCTCCTGACAGCGGAAAGACAGAGGTCAGAACTGACACAGCAGTTCACATCTTATACAGTTTTCCTCTTTGTGCTGTGGTGACCCACTCTAAACAATCTAAATGTCATTTTCTGTCATTTTCATTCTGGGTGTAAAGAAGTTAGCTTAAACAGGGTTGGTTTATGACAAAAAGACTGAGGTTACATGTTTGCACTGATGCACTTTATAGAGGTTTGTTGGCCTGTCGTGATGGGCAATAAATCAAGTAATTAAAATGAGGTTTCATCTGCCTGCTTGTTTTTTTTTTTTTTTTTTTTTTTTTTTCCTGTCTCTCCCTCTTAGCATAGGGAGGAGTGAGCTCTGGCATCAGGTATTTTCCAGGTGCATGGTCTCTGTAGCATGAGAGCCCTGTGAACAGGCATTTAGCTACAGGAGCGTCTGTGGTTTCCTGAGGGTTGTTTTTGCTTTTTTTTTTTTTTACACTGCATAAATTTTGTAAAATTCTTAAGTAGCATGACGGTGAAGCCAGAATACAGAATAGAGGAGGTGGGAAGTGATTTTACAGCCTCAGCAGCTATTGTGTTTTTTTCCCAATCTCCCAGTCCAGGTCCGTTTATAACTTTTTTTTTTACGTGCGTAAATTTCATAAACTTCTGTAAGCTTTATAAGCGAGGATGTATTATTATATTAGTTTAAAATAGTCTCCAAACAATATTATAATTTATTGCAATAGACAATTTATCGTCCAGCAAAATTTGTTATCATGGCAGGCCGAGTGGTTTGTGCACTATTAAACTAATTTCATCTGCTCCTTGCTTTTTACAGCCATTCTTAGAATCTACTGTGCATATGAAAACACACATTGATTATGTGAGATGTCAAAAGTATTTATGTTTTGCTCCTAACATACAGTAACACACTCATTAAGAGCCCCTCTGCCGGGCCACCATGCAATGGAGGTTTTTGACCTCAAGAGTTCAAACCTTTCTGCTTATACAGCTGATGTTTTCTGGCACGACTCTCTGAGACTTCCTGCCTCTTTGATGCCTCGTCCGACCACGCTAATGTGCCCCCTGACAATGTGTAACAGCTAATCCATAGTTTGGACTGAAACACACACACAGAGTGATTTGTGCAACCCCCTTTGATTTAGAGACTTGGAGCCAGGAAAAACATAAACAAAACTGACCTTTGAGCTAGTTCATGTGGAAAAACAGTATAGTGAAATTCCCTTTTAGTTTGTGTCGTATTTAACATTTGTTGTTAAATTTTTGAACACATRAATCTACCTGCTGCCTCGTGAAACTGAACTGAAAAGAAGTCTTGTATGTTCTGAAACAGTGGAGGTAGGTGGACGGTCCGAGTGGTACCCAGCAGAGCTGTGTGGACTTACTGTAGCTCTGGTTTCATGTGGCTCAGTCCTCATTGTCTGTGAGTAATATCCTATCAGATGTAGCATCCTGACTGTGGGTGGGACCCAGGAGAGGAACACACTGAACATAGACGTGGACAGAGAAGGGTTTGTCATACGTTCACAGGAGAGCAGCTCAGAATCAGGCCACACAACAGTCCTGATGTTGGCCTGAATGTGTTTCCGGCTTCCTCCTCCCACCACCTTTCCTAACCTCCCCCTGCTCTGCCTCCCCTGTGTCTTTAGGAGGTGGTGGTGTGTGGCCACTCTCTGGAGGTGAATGTGACCAGCAGTCTGGATTTCTACCTCAGCGTTGCCCAGGTGCAGCTCCTGCAGCAGCTTCTCAGAGACAACATGGTGGGCCTGAACGCTCCAGAGAAAAGTGCCGAGGTACATAAAATGATCACAAATGTAAAAGCACTCGAGGTTTCACTTAAAGTTTGTCTGTTCTTCACTTAGATCTGTTAGGACAAGTTTAATCAAATATTTCTGTTTTTTTTTTTTTTTTTTTTTTTTTTTTTGCATGAATCCAGCACAATTAAATATTTATTCATTCAGAGTGAAGCAGCTCTCTTATGTGGCATTAGTTTACTGTGCTCGGCTCAGATGCAGCTTCAGGGCCCTTCCTATTGTTTACAAGACAAGGAGCGCCCAGGCGCCGTTTGCCTTGTCTGATCGCTTTYTGAAGCTTTCTAATGGAACACAATATAAAAATATTTACCAGCAGCGGTGAAGATGGGACTTCTAGCGAAGTTGGCTGGAAGCAAAAGTGAGGGGGAATGAGCTCAAATGAAGTGAGTTAACAAAATGACTTTACAGTTGTTTTGTTTTAAGATTCTTCAAAAGTTAAAATGTTTACTGAAGTGCTTCCGACGACTCAGATCCACCAAAAGCGTCTAAAATATGCTTCTCTGGAAGGAAAAAAATGAACAAAGGGTGCAGTAATAGATTCTTTAAAATAAAAAAGAGGCAGATGAAAGCAGTGAGGTTTAGTAAACATCTTTACAAGGTCCACAGTGGGTTTGAGTCGTATAAGAATTTATAAGAGTTTTGTTGTATTGGACAGATTTTTTTTTTGCTTTTGCTTCTTGTATTAGTGTAAAATAAACTTACATGCCTTAAGAATATGATCACCGAACTAAAACTGAGATAATCTTTCTAATACCTCCAAACGGGTGCGCAAAAAAACATCACCCCATCTGACCCACACAAATACAGGCCACATGCACATGATGGGTGTGGCAAACAGAAACAGCAACACACCACTGCACACCTGACCAACACTGTGCCACACCAGTGTGATGCACATGGCGCACAAGCACAGTGCATCTGTCCCACACAAGGCCTGACACGCACAATGCAACACGCACACACAAACACACACAAAATGTCCCACTTTTAACTGTCAAATTAGAAAAAGTCAACAGAAAACAAACTGACAAACATATAGTGTCTGCAGTGTGAATCAGATAATTCCTCCTTATTTATGTCTCTGTCYGTGCAGGAGAGAGGAGAGAAAAGAAGGCATAAATCACAGACACAGCATCATCTGTCAATAACGACATGTAGCAACACATGGCCGGTCTGCACACCACTGCTACGATGTTAAAAATAAATAAAAACGGAGCAGAAAAGGGGATTTGATTTATGCAGAATGCAAGGGAAAATATGTCAAAGAAACAAAAATGCAGCAAAACAAAAACTGTGAAAAGGATGAGGTCATGAAAGGTGATTCTCAGAGCAATTTGCAAAAGTTATTTTTGTATTTTGTCATGAAGGGGAACACAACATGAARCGACACTATAAATGATTCACACAAGAAACCCTCAGCTCAGAAAGCTGCCGGTCAATCCATGGACACAGATGGCTGATCAGTCAGTAGCCACRCGGCTAACCGTTACCTGTGAGCTGTAGCTGCAGAGGTGAAGGCAGAGAGAAGCTAGTGTTGTCTGTTGGAGGAGGCTCAGGTGCTGTATGACATCCAGAGGAGCAGGTGAAGCCACAGCACTTGCTTTATTTTTATTCTTTTCTGTAAATGTTTTGATAAGATTCAACTGTTTAAAATGTTTCTTACTCATTTTTAGTTAGCTTCACCACACAGTAAGGAAAAAGTGCCAGTCCAGTCGCCAAATTAACTAAAGTAAACTGATCAATTAAATGTTAGGTAAGGACATATTTGTCTACTCCCACAGATGCACACCGATAAATGTAGTTTTGACACAAAAGACCTGTTATTATTTTATTCTCTCCACAGTTTTGGTAGAAACAAGGAACAATTAATAAACAATTGTAATAAAAGATTTTGTTCAACTCAAAGTAAAATCTTCAGGTTGCACAGTGGTTACAGCTGCAGGCACCACCAGCTACAAGTCAAAATGTGAACAATGAGCATCTTAAAACACACGCTCCTTCAGTGTTTCATACTGGGTTGTCAGAACTGATCCTCAGGYTTCTGTGGATTCTTGGGTTCTGTCTCTATGAAACACGCTTCACCACTATCAGACTGGTATCTGCAAAGTTTATAGGCGACATAAGCACCCCCTAATTGTCTTTTTTGAATTATTTGTTGTTTCTAATCTATTTTGTGCATCAAACAACTCATTTGTTGATTATAGTCACTATGTCTTCCAAAGGTGAGTGGTAAATATTTAAAGTAACATTTGTGAAAATCCTAATATTGAGGTTTTTATTTTATRAAAACTCAGATTTTTACATCATCTGTCAGTGGTCATCATTGTGACTTTGATCATTTTGTCYCAGTGAATTGTGGGCGTACCTCCTGCTCTCAGGAGATTTGTTGCTTGAGTTACTTRGTAAAGCAGAATAAAATAGTCTGCCTGTAATGATGAGCAGTTTTGRTGTGCAGGCTGGTGGTTGATGTGCAGCGCTAATGTCATTAAAACAGAAATCATGAGGGTTCCTCTGCATGACTGTGCCCTGGCTTTGACTGTTTGGACGTTCTGCCTACAACTATTTATATTTTATCTGTCTCAGTGTTGTAAGCCTCTCTGATTGAATGTGATGAGCTGCAGGGTGCAGGAAGTGTATCGTAAAAGCTATAGAGCCCTCTAGTGGTGGASTTTTCAGTTTCTGCTCCTGTGGTGAGTGCAGTGTGAACACACGCACACCGTGCAACACATCAGCAAATAATATCTCTAGCATTGATGCTGATGTCTGGAATCTAATTGACATTGTTTAGCTTGTCAATCCACTGATAGCAAATTACAAATATTTAGCTGTTTTTCTCGTTTTTTCCAGAATAGAAAGACATGGTTTTGAAACCAGTGTTTTTATTTGCTCGTTTATCTTATCTTATCTAAAACAATAAAATMTATTTTCTGTTCTAACTTCCTTATTGACTGTTGTGATACAGACTGAAAGTTGTGTTTATATACAGGGTTAGGGTTTAAACAGGTCCATGAACTCCAGCATGTGAAGGAAATGTGYTTTATTTTGTCCACTCTCACTTCAGCACTGTCCTCAGTACAACTTTAAATGATGCACTACTTTTTCCCCTATTAGCAAACCCCTTTGTGTCCTTTTTCCACACTCTCTTTCAACCCATGGCACTGATTTTRAACATTTCCCATCACCCCTCACAGCTGTGTTTTGTTGTCAGGGGTTAATAAATTTGTTTKGTTGGAGCTCTCCAGGTCCTGGGCAGAGGCGAGACGAGCCAGACGCGTGGGTAATGTTTGCAAGCATCGTGAAGGATTCTGAGTCATCTGTCGACCCAGAGCCATGCACCCAGTGTGTTCTCACACACACATCCACGTACCTATGCTTTTATTTGTCTGTGTGGTTTTTTGAAGCCAGTTGTTCAGAWATTTTACCAGATTCTCCTCAGATTCCCGACTAAAAGCAAGAGGAACRTGGTTTTGTATGTGTTGCTCTTTAAACCGCTGCAATTTTTCAGATGTTTACCATGTCGTTCGCTACAGTTGGTCACAGTCTGACTTCATCTCAATACTTTCTGCTTGATGTTAATGATGATGAAGAGAAGCGAGGCTTGGTTTGGATCAGACAGCTTTCAGCAGCAGGAAGTCCCGCAGCCAAGGAACATGAATAGATGATAGAGAGCTTTCTTGGACTTATCTCACTGCCTTGTCATCAGCTGTGTCTCCCAGCTACATAGAAATGCATAGCATCAAACGCATGTGTTTACACATCCAAACACACACACTAACACGCACACGCACGCACACACACACACACACGAGACTGTGTGTGAGCGCGCACGCTCTCTACATTCCCAGCATGGTGACTGTCTGCAGCCGTAATTTGGGAGTCATGATTGTCGTCTTTATGCCTAAACAGCTGACATGTGTGTCTGTGTACATGAAGTATCCCTACAAAATCTGGTCACAGATGTGTATATATTTGTGTGTTTTTGTGCAAATCTTTTATCRTCTTGTTGTCTACCAGTCCTGCTTCTCTTAAATACTTTAACTCATTCAGAAAAATCTACCACTCTCCTTTGCGTCACTATGTCTGATTGTTGGTGTCACTCCACRTCAGGAACAGTAAGCTCTGCAGAGTGAGCTGGTCATGTTTTAAATGCATCCCTCATTTCTGTGTTAGTGTATCTGTCTTCCTCTCTTTCTGACACACAAACAYGCACAGAAACAGACCATGTGCGTGTACCACAGTGTGAGAGGAAAATACCCTCTGGTGCAGGGGAAGTCCCGCTCCACCTCATCCTGGGATGATTACACGCATGGGAAACGGGGCTTTAGACTTCCTCCAAAATTCATGCACACACACACACACACACTGCTGTTAGTGCACATACAAATAAAGTAGTACTCAGGTTCAGGATAACATATCAGGCATCATCAGAACCTTAGAAAAGCAGTTTTAAGCGAACRCACATGGGGAGTAAATAATCAAACATTACCTGTTGAGTTGCTTCTCTTGTACCGCCTCTTTTCCTGTTGACATTTTCACTTGGCTTTTTTGTTTGTTTCATTTTGTTTTTTCTGTTTACTGAGCTCTTTGATTTTGTTTTCTTGTTTCTTTGACTTTCCCTCGTGGCTCTGGTACAGCTTATGGTTAGGACAAATGTTCAGATCTGAGCGTCTACATATCTAGGATGATAAAAGAGAGGATATCTTCTCTAAAGACAGATTTGAACATTTTAATATTAATGAGCCATGTTTTTAGCTGCTTTAAATCTAAACTTTGGATAAAATCATACTGCTGACACTTAGAATCCCTCCGTTGGTACCCAGAATATTTTTTGTATCAACTTTAACAAATTAAATAGGTTCACTGTCATCACCTGAAATGTGATGGAACATTAAAAGGCTGAGTTAGCCAAAAAGATGAGTAGTTCAAACTGGTCAAATGGAAATATGGTGAGAACCCCTGTGGAAACTGGGCTGTGCCAT